CCCCCCCCCCCCCCCCTCCACTGTTAAGTCTCTTCAATCCGGAGCAGGAAATTGATTCCAGGCGGGGGCACATTCCAACTGCTGGTTGTCCCTTGCTAGACAACCGTTATGCTCCAATATCCTTGTTGTGCCCTAACTACCTCGACAACAATTCCGTAACTAAGGTCGTACCTTGCACTTGAGCCTCCCGGCATGTAATTAGGCCGCTCGTCCAAATCACTCGAAAATACTGTAGGATACACGGATATCCAGAGGGGGTTCTCGTTTATAGAGGCTTCATTGAAATTTTTCCGTTGGTATTGCCGCCAGGTTCTCCCTGTTTGTTCTCTGCCTACCAGGTACTGTTTGTGGTTCATGCTGCGATATCGGTGTGTGCCTTGGTATTGGTATTTCCCGGCACTGCAAAGATGCGGTAGCTCTTCCCTGCCCGATACAATGAGGCGTGACTCCTCCCCCCCCCCATCTCTAGACCAACACGGAGACAGACACGGAAGGAATAACACCACCGTACGCTCGAAGCATAAGCCCCTTACAGAGACAGACAGATCGGCAGGCAGGCAGGCAAGCAGAGAGAGAGCGGGGGGGGGGCAGAGAAAGAGATAGAAGCGGAAACACACACACAGACAGGCAGATACAGACAGAGACAGAGCCGGAGACACACAGAGAGAGAAATGGTAGAGGTGTCGCCAAGACCCTCGTAGGTTATTGTGTGGTGGCATGATCGTTTGGCAGTATTGCTAGCCCTAGTGGCGTTCAATGTGGCTTTCGTAGCAAATGCCCTCCATGCTGTTGTCGCTCGGTCGAGCCACGCGCTATGCTAACGATAACACCTACTTCCAATATTTACGACCAACATCAGCAGCAAACGGCAACAAAGATAGCGAGGACGGTCGCCTGCACGACACATGCATATGAACGATTGTAGTCGATGGGCGAACACCAACCCTCACCCCATGCGCACAACTTTGGTCTAGCACCTCAAGGTGCAGTTTTGAATTTCAACCCCCCTGGTTCACCATTGTTTTCTTCTTCGAAGATCGTGATAGGAGAATCTAGCACATGTGCCGCGGTGCCTTTAGTGTTTTTAGGCCACCGGCACTTTGCATTTTCCAAGATCAAGATTATAGCAAACAGCCTATCTGCCACGGCGGTGCCTGCCACCGCTGCCACTTTTTGTTGACTGACATCGCTCTTCCCCCATCGCTTGTTCTGCTGCTGCTACTGCTGCTGCTTCCCTCTTTTGTTTCTTGTGTGTTTAGCGGTAGTCCGCAATTTCTTCGGTCGGTCAAGCGAAAGCCGTCGATGATGATAACAACAGTCGCGCGGGGGATGGATCGACGCCATGCTGCCAGTGGGATACGCCGATCGTCGCTTGTAGGCCGATGTTGCTGTCGCTGTTGGTTATCGGTGGTGGTGATGGGGTTGGTTTTTTGAGAGAAAAGTTTTCGGCGATGGGGATCGCCTTTGACACATGTACAGGGAGGAAGGAGCAGCAGCAGCGGCGGCGGCGGCGGCGGCAGCCATCTTTCTATTTTACGAACACGGTTGGTAGATGGCCCGTGCTATAGTCTTTTGGCCTTCCTTGTCGTTCGTTGTTTGGCTGTCGTGTCTCTCTTAGTTCGCCAAGACGACGGCGCATGACGCGAGGTGTAGAGGGTTGCCTGAGCTTTAACTGTGCGGGTGTCGAGTCCTACCTTCCGCTCCTGGTTGTGCTCTTAAGTATAGAGTAGTGTCGGCTGGCCTATTCCCATGTTGCACGTTTAGGTTTGTCCTTGTTGTCATAATACAGTCATACTCCAAAGCACTCCTTGCGTTCTCCAGACTGAGGGCCCGAAATATTGGGGCGTCGCAGTGTCGAGGAGGGGAGTAGACATATGTGTGCTCGAATATTTCCGGGGGGCGGCGTTTTCGTTGTCAGCACAATCGTTTTCAATTTTTCTTGTGTCGACGGCGATAGCAGTTCTAAACCTTGTCCAGTGTACGGGGCGGAATGGCAGCCTTCTAAAGTATATATATATATTAGCTTTCGCCCACATTGTTGTATCGTATGAGCACCCGTACATCCTTTCGAGGTGGTGACAGCGATATACGTCGAGGTTCAATGAAGATGTTGGCATAGCGTCAGTCGGGGGTGGGAGGGTTAGAGGCTTTCGACGTAACAGTGGAGTTTTTATCGATCCCCTCATTTAGGCACGTCTTTCGCGTGATACTTTACTATTTACGTCTGTTGGTTTGTGTCTCGTGAGGGTTTTGAGTTGGAGGGCGGAGTGTCGGTGTGTTGTTGTTCCGCGATTCTGAAGTCATCAGGCGCTAGCCCCGAGCTCTGCGGGACTGCACACCAGTGTACCGCAGCTGTTCATCGTAAGACGACCATGGTTGCTCAGGGACTTGCAGGTTTAGGTGCATCGGCACTAGACCCCCCGCCAGGCGAGCCGAGAATTGTTGTCCCGCGGTCGTTTGGCATCTGTCTTGTCTGTTTGCATCGGCAGAAATCTGTCTCTTTTGTATTGTCGTACTCCTGTCTAACTCACAAGATAAGCACCCACCCTTTCCAGAACACCTCATAGCGAGTTTTTTGCGCGGTTGGGGTAAAAGGTAGCAAGTGCTACTCGTAGATACAGTTTGGGATAATGACAGCTTATGTAAGAACGTTCGCAGAAGCTTCTCCAAGATCATGGACAAAGCACCCAACTGCACCTACCTGAAGGGGAAGTGTGGCGGTGGGAGTTGTCTGCCAAGCAAAAAGTGGTTAGTACCAAGCAAGGAGGTTGTCGGTCAGGTGCTCCGAGGTCCTCAATCCAACGGGTTGCTTTCTTTCCCGTTCCGGTGTTGCGCGGTTGTAGAAGTTTTTTCTTGGAGAGCCTCCTGTGGTTTTGGCCGTCGTTTTTACTCAGCCGCCATCGTGCTGGTTCGTGGTATGGTATGTCTCGATAGTCCTATGTCGATTCTCGCAAGAATTGCGGGAAATATTTGGCCCACGGGGCTCCCCTTCCAGGGCACGCCCAACCCGCTTGTATGCGTTTGTTTCTAAGAAATTTCCAACTCCACGAATATTCTGGCGGCTGTTCTTTTTTAAGAAAATTCGCGAGTATTCTGGCGACCGTTCCGAACTCGTGTGTTGAAACGCCTACTTTCAGGAAGTTGTTCCTCCGTGGGATTGGAGGTGTGTCTAAGTATTTATTGAGCTGAACTCGATCGAACTGGTTGAGTGTTCCCAGGTGGGATGAAAGGGGGTACATGCGCCTTACTCGGAGTACTTTTGTGTTTCGTTTGTCCTAAGCTTCGTTTCGGTTGTTATGGTAAGGCACTCTCGCGCCTGCTTTGTCCGTGCGGTTTTTGGTGGGTTTTCCACCCATCTTGTACTTGTAGTCGGGTTAGCGTCTGCCGTCGGTCACGCGACGTTCCTCCTTCTCTCGCCGTGATCGATCAGCTATCGGCGTGGACGAAGAGCATTCTTCACAACATTCCCAAGAACGTTCTTGGGATCAGCGATCGGCGTGGCGACCTGCGTCTCCGCGTGGAATGACTACATGTACTGCTGCTTCACAAAAATGCACGTCATTTTTTTAGTCTTTTCCACACCACCCGCGTGTGCAGGCGCCGCTGTCGCCGTACACGCATGCGTTTTACGTGTGTTTGTTGTCCTTCATGATCAGCATGTTGCACATGGGGTAACCGCAGGGTTTTTTCCCGTGGAGCGTTTACATATTTTTTTGGTATACTGCCGCCGCCTACGTTGGGCGGCAACTGGTGTCTTTTCTTCTCTTCACACGCTCTGTAGCTTCCGTTCGTGACTCAACTTGCTACAACACTGCGTGTTTTCTTCTCAACGAAATGGCAGGAAAGGGTTCTATTACGGTGGAACACAATAATCAAGACCAAATTGGGCACTTCCCGTTATTGTGGACCCTAGCTACTGTCGGAGACAGAGGCCGGTGCCTTGGCAGTATTATCCCACTGCCAGGGGAAGGCTATTTCCTCTCGTGATATGTAAACGAGGAGAAGAGGGTAGAAAGA